GACAGGATGTTTGGAAAAGAAGAAAGAGAGTCAAAAAAACCTGCTGTACTTCCTTTCAGAGTTAATGCAGGTAAAGTCATGTCTGCTTTCAAAAGAATCTCCCTACAAGGGGATTTCTGACTCCTAGTTTCAAAGCTGATGCTGTCTTGACAAACGTGAGGTTAATAACCCCAAATCATGCATATTACATGATTGGTTTCTGGAAAAAAAAAAAAAAAAAAAAAAAAAAAAAAAAAAAAAAAAAAAAAAAAAAAAAAAAAAAAAAAAAAAAAAAAAAAAAAAAAAAAAAAAAAAAAAAAAAAAAAAAAAAAAAAAAAAAAAAAAAAAAAAAAAAAAGACTAGCTAGCTTACTGTTTAAAAATAGTAATTTATTATTGTCTTTAACAATATTAGGAGCAGCAGGAAAAAAAAAGTAAGGACAAAAAAAAAAAGTACTCTAAAAGTGAAAAGACTCATAAGAAATTTGGTGAAAAAAAATTTTTTTACATATATGTGTGAAATAAATTTCTCACCAGCCAGGCAGGATTGACTGAATAGCAGCAGGTTCTTCTGGCCAGTAAGGAGCAGATCGGAACCCATAAGCAGTCCTTACACATACAAACTTTCTGTAAGAGCTTTTGCAGGTAAAACTTATATCTATTCTCCTTTTTACATAGGAGGAGTGCTTCTCAAACCATCAGGAAGCATAGGGTATTATGACACAAGAGGCTCTGCTAGCACACTGAAGGTTTGAAGCACTTGAAGACTCCAACACATAGGCTGGCAATTCCCAGTGCTCAGGTAATACATGATTTACTTCTCTAGAATAAGTGATATATGTGACTTGCACTTTTCACTGGTGTTGCACATTTTCTTTAAAAAGTCAGTTTTAGTAATGCTTCCTAATTGAGATGATCTTCAGAATACTGACCTGGAGTTGAAATTCAGATGAGATCAGTAGCAGCAGCGAGTGCCTTTTAAAACCAAATCTTCTCCTTTACCGAAATATCTATCACTAACCCTAAGTGGCAGTGCAGAGCTTCACAGAGACAGAGCAGAACAGGAGATGAGGGGAATGTCCTCACAGCCTGTAGCCCGGTATCTTGCACATACTGGGAGTTATAGGATCACCTGTGTCTGTGTTTTAGATCCAGGGGTAATAAATGTGTGTTATTAAAAACTTTATAGGCAATTTAGATGGTGTCTTCTAACTGAGTTTAACAACAAGATAATAGGTCCTCAGTTTAATTTCCTGTGTAATGCTGCATCACAGGCTCCCACTGACTTCAGAGATCAGTTGGTGTCTGAACAAAAAACCTGACAGAACAAACAGAATAAAACAAAATCCCTCTTTAGAGAGAATACAGCTGTCAACATCTAGGTGCGTTTAGAAAGTTACACTCTTAACTAGGGCAAGCATCAGCATAGTAAATTATAGTAGTACTCATCACATAAATCCATAAACTCACATAAACTCAGTGTGTTGTAGTCAAGCTCAAAGTGATTGCACTTCAAAGGTGGATTTCACCAAATTGGGACAAGGAAAATTGTCTTTCTTTTCAGTTTTCATTCTAGGACTCTCTCAAATTAAGGATTTGCAGAGGAATGTTCTCCCCCTGGAAGCTGAAGAGTGACTCACTCCTTCTCAGCCAGAGCTTTTTTTGCTTATTAAAATATTTTTCCAGAAAGGTATCTTCCAGAGTTGAATAACAGTACCTGAATAAGAACTTTGAGTTGCTTCCAATTAAAGGTACTTTATCTGACCTTCAGAGCCTTCCTGAACCTAGAATTTGGTGAATGGGTGTTGGACTAGATGATCTCCAGAGATCTTTTCCAACCCCAGCAATTCTGTTACTGTGAATCCTGTAGATCTGCTCATAAGCTTTTGTGCCTTTATAATTAGGTGCTCTGCAGTTTGAAAGTTTTTCATAAATGGCAAATAATCAAGAACTTTCAGGGGCTAACATAACCTGCTTCTGCAGGTAGAAGCAGTGTCACTGGAATTCACATTTTTCTGAAACTTTTGGTGTGATTTTTAATCTCTTTGTATAAATTAAGACATCAGCTACTCATTAATCCACAGCTCAGCACACTGTTCCTTAGAACCTTTGGTGCAGTTGCTTCATGCCTGCAAGATGTACAGTTTTCAGCATTAAAATTAAGTTTAAAAAAGGAATATTAAATTTACCTGCATGCTGGTTTCTGACCTAATAAAACTGCTACTCTTGAGTGAAAAATCTTGAGGTGTTCAAAATTACTCTGAGATAATTAAAGGTTTGCAAAGCATCCCTGCAAAAATGTGTATTAATACATGAGAAGGAGTGGAGCCATTCAGCAGGAGGTTGCCAGGAGTTGACACAGCCAGCAGGGAGGGCTCTGAGTTTTCAGGGCACTGTGCAGCCTGTGGCTGCCGCTGCTGCTCAGGACTCCCCCTCCGTTCCTGTTTGTGCCCTGTGCTGGCGGGGAGGCAAAGCCAGCTATCAAACACTGGAAGAATTACTTGAAAGTGAGCGGAGATGCTTAGCCTAAAACTAATGAGAGTTTCCAAAAATCTTTTCTTACTGTTTTTTCACATTTCACATTTACAGGAGAAAAATTCTCTCTGCTCACTTTGGGTGTTTGTTAACAGCAATCTGCTATGGTATTGTTTCCATTTACTGCATTTATCATACAACAACAGGACAATCCCCTCCCCACTCCGATTGGAATAAATATTTTTATACAGTTTTAGATGGCAACATAACTGAGGCTTTAAATATAATTTTTATGACTTTCTTAGTGGCAGGAAGTTTGCATCCTGTAAAAATAAAATGAGAGAAAAATTGTAGCACAGCAATGCATTATAAGGATTTACATTCTTCACTGGGTATTATTTAATCTCTATGTGGTTAAACATGCAGTTTAATGTTGTGGGATTCATCCAATATGCTTTTAAAAATATTTTATGACAGAACAGTGGTCATGGAAAGAAAAATTTTATTGATGTAACAACAACTGATTTTAAGAAGCAAAAGACCATAAAAATCAATAGAAAAATCTAATGTTAGGTGGTATTGGACTAGATCCCAGCAGGGGAAACATTATTGTATGGACAAATTCACTAGGGAATATAGCAGGAATTGAGGTCAAAATGTAATCACCCAGAACACAGCTCTTCAGCGTGGATTATTTTATTCTCCCTCTGAATTGAAATATCTCTTAATGGTAATAAATCTCCTTATCCTGTACTGGGAGTGTATTTGCCATAATGTATCAGAAGAAAGATCCTTAACAGCCTACGCACTCGTTCATATGATTCTCTAAAATGTTCTGTGCTTCCTCTCAAACATGCTGGCATAACTTAATTTTCAGTTAGAGATAAAATGGCCAATTGGAAAGAATGGTAGGTGGTAAGTGCTAAACCAAGGGTTTGAAATCTAACTAAAACCGAACATTAAAAAAAAAAAAAAAAAAAAAAAAAAAAAAAAA